GCACAGAATGCTGGTTAGGCCTCATTGCTGCTACTCATGAACTGACGGTGCCTCCCCTACCTGTGCATTCAGTACATCCTAGTAAAACATTGGAAATAATGGGCAAGCTGTCAAGGAGTATCTATGCCATTAGTGATAAACTTCTGAAGAACCTTCAAGTTTTTATAATATTTTATTTAGGATGTTTTTGTGCTACTTGTCCAGAATTTTGCTTAAGGTTCTACTCAAGTTTTGTAGTACATAGCTCAGAATCCATCGTACAAGGAACCAAGGTATTAGAATTCAACTTTCAGGCTTCTCTGGGCCTACAGCAGCTCACCTATTCTCACCTGAATAATATTTTTGGTACACAGAACCATGAAGATGTGCAATTGCCTGTGTATGCATAGTAATACACAGAGTTATTGGCTATACCTTCTGAAGGAGATGTCTTGAGGGTTTTGGTGATGGTTTTCTGTGTATTGTTTTCTGCCCACATTTCCCCTTTGCTATATTTTTTCACCTTTGTATAAACCCAGTTGCAATGCTTGGGATTTATTTTGAGCGGTTTCTCCAAACATTGGCTGTATATAGAAAAATTAATCATACCAACAGAACTATATTCATATTTATAGCAGAAAGTAATAATACCGCCATAGGGCATATTAAGGGCTGCTGCTGTAATATGAGACATGAGCTATGGGTGTCGTTGTACACGGTCACTTTCAGAGCTGTTGACAGTTTAACCATACTTAGCAACCTGTTTTCATTTCTGTTCTCTGAAGAGGGCTCCCTCTAAAGCTGGCAAGCTTTGTGTTTCATGTTTCTTCTGGGAAGTTGTTCTAGAAGAGCTCTCTGTTTCTGTTCACTGTGCTAATGAATTACAATTCCTATATTTAATGGATCGTTAGCTGCACTGTAATTTGCAAGGCCCCCATCACAGATATCCAGCTATATGTTGGTCAAACAGCGACGGAATCACAGGCCTCTGCAACATTTTTGATTTATTCCTTGACTGAAAATGGCAACTGAAATATGTGCTGTATATGGAAAATACAGATACTGAGTAACTTCTTTTTGTAAGATATTTTAATGCCTTGTACACATTCTGTTATTTCATGACCAACTGTAGTAGGAACTTAATAACATAGATAAAGGAATCTTACTAAGGAGGATTTTAGTCCTTTGATAACCGGGGGGGGGGGGGTTATAACACATTAGTTGTTGAAACACATGAATCTTCATGCCAGACAATGTGGTTGCACAGTTGGTAGAAAACCCCTCCACCATTCAAAACCTATTAGAAAATACATTCAGATATCACTGATTTATTTATGAATGAGCCATCTTATTTTCTGTATTTCTTTGGGAAACTGCACCTGAATCAAATTGCCTATTCCTAGCCTAGTGGTTGAGTAAGACGTTTCAGGTACTCCTCCATGAAATAGATTTATTGGGATCCAGTTCAATCTGGCTTCAGGTTGGAGTTTGGTTGTGAGACTGCCCTGACTTTCACTGGCAGACAGACAGTCCTTCTGAACTGACTGAGAAAGTTGAGGCCACTGTTGTATTAAACTCTTGTTGGGTTTGGGGGTGGGTCTGTAGTTTCGAATTTATCAGCCATAAACTGGCTGATCAGGCTGATATTACCTCTTATTTTATTTATTTAGTTCATTTATCCCCGGTCTCTCTCCCCAATGGGAAACCAAAGCAGCTTGTATTAGTCTCCCCTCCTCCATTTTAGCTTCACAACAACACTGTGAGATTGGTTGGGCCAAGAATGTGACTGGCCCAAGGACATCAAACAAGTTTCCATGGCAGAGTGGAGATTCAAACCTGAGTCTCCGGGATCCTAATCTTACACTCTAACCACTACACTATAGTAGTTTGCTAGTGACTTTTATATTGCCTTTTATCTCTGTCTTCACATCTAAATTGATGGTAGAATAATAGCTGTAGAAATGCCAAAGTGTCATCACACACTCAGATGCTTAAATTAATCCTCCAAGAACTGCAGACAGGAAGTCAGTTCTAGCTAGTCTAATGACTATTGGGCCTGTATTGCACATAAAGTTGGAAAACTTTAAAAAATATTTTTAATAACTGGCGCTTTTTAGCATTCAAAACATGGTGTATTTAAAACAGTGGTTTTCAAATGTGGTCAAGAAACTGGAGTTCCTAAATGATGCTGTGACAGACAACAAGCAATTGCAGACTTTTAAGTAATGCTGCTGGGAAAAGGATGAGCTAGCTGAAAAATGATTGACAGCTCATGGAACTCATTCTGATTGGGTGAAGGCAGCTTACTGGGGAACTGGAACATGGAGCTGTTTAAAAAAATTCAAGTGGGTAGGAGTTAGCCTCTTGGAGTGAAACAGTGTTGGAGCAATGGGGCAGAGCTGTCAGAAAAAACACTTAGTGAGACTTTTTTGAAGAAAAGTGTCTGATAAGCCCCGTCTGTAGCAGGGAAAGTGTGTTATAGCCTCTGCAAATAACATGTCTTGGGGTGGAGATAGTGATTCTAGCAAGGAAGTATCAGAACCTCCCCTATTCAAGGAGTGGAAGGAATCTCCTTGTGTGAAAACCAAAGAAAACACAACTTGAGTAGAGAATTAATCACTCTCAGTATGGAAGCTTATTAACCAGTTTACAGAGACTGTTCTTCTGGCAGATAGGGAGTTGACAAACAGTTTCAGGTCGCATGGAGGTCCCTCAAGCAAGTCAAAAGAGGTTATTGTTCTTAAGAAGAGAATAACAATCTGGCCAGAGGAAGAGGGGCCAGATAGGAAAACCCCTGGTCTGAATATAGGGTAAAAGCATAATAAAACCTCACATTTGGGTAACCATCCAGTTCCAGTAACAAGTTCAAAAGTAGGCATTATAGTAGTATCTGTAACCCTGATAAAGCAGTGAAGCATCTCTAACAACATCAAACCAAAATAAACCAGGGAAAACAACTCTCTGAATATCTCTTTGGTGGTGGTTGTTCAGTCGCACAGTTGAGTCGGACTCTTTGCGACCCCATGAACCACATCACGCCAGGCCCTTCTGTCCTCTGTCGTCCTCCAGTGTTTGTTCAACTTCATGTTTGTTGCATCGATAACGCTGTCTTGCCATCTCATCCTTTGCTGTCGCCTTCTTCTTTTACCTTCAATCTTTCCCAGCATCAGTGTCTTTTCCAGTGAATGTTCCCTTCTCATTTGGTAGCCGAATGGCCCTGTTCATACGAGCCCATTTGGGCCGGGAGCGGGACGGAACTGGGGTGGAGCAAACAGGCACGATCTCACCTCAACATCTGGGGAGCGTGCCGTCTCCGTCCCTGATCCGTCCCAACAGCCCATACTGCGCCGTAAAAAAGAACCACCTCTCTAGGTGGTTGCATACATTGATGCGGCTCAGGCCGGGCTGTGGGATCGGCGGCGCGTCCTTGCGCCGCCGCATCC